AAAGGAAAAAAACAAAGTCTTAAATTGGCAAATGATTGCTCATCGGAATGGAAGCAAGTTCCAGCAGGTGTGCCCCAAGGGACTAAATTGGGCCCCTGGTTATTTGTAGTGATGATCAACRACTTATATGTTCCATCAGCTAACGGGGTTTTCAAGTATGTAGATGATACCACTCTTTACGACTTCGTCGGTAGACGTTCAACCAGTAGCGCCCAATCGTGCCTTGATGAAATCTCGTCGTGGTCCTCGTCGAACAATTTTACTATCCATCCAAAAAGTGTAAAGAGCTGAGGATCTATTTTTCACTTACTCCCACAAAAAGAGAGAACGCAACTATCAACGATACGGAAATTTTACCAACAGACTCTGTGAAAATACTAGGCGTAACTTTACAAAAAGACCTAAAGTGGAACTCAGACATATCAGAGATCATTAAAAAAGCTGCTAAAAGACTTTACTTTCTCCGTCAGCTAAAACGGTCAGAGGTTGGTTCCTCAGACTTGTTAAAGTTTTTATACAGCATGTATCATGTCCGTCCTCTTATATGCTCAACTTTTCGTTGAGCAGGCTAAGACAAACGACATTCATTGGGCAGTAAAAGCAAAACAAATTGACTCAAATCACTCTCTTGAACTTTTTAAAGTTTAAAAAACCACAAGTTGAAATCAAATGACGGTTGAAGACGAAAAACGAAGGTTCAAATTGGTGTTAAGTAAGCTTAGCGGACAATTTTATTCACTTGTTCAACACTCGGCATCTCAATAACAGCGCGCCGGGAATGGCGCCAAACCCCATTCGTGAGGAAGGCTCCTAGTAATGGGCTCCTGCCAATACYAGTAAACAAGTTACTGAAGAACTTGGCGTTAAATAGCTCATGCATAATCATTATCGAGAATTTCACGACGGAGTTAATATGGGATCTATCGTGTGCGTCAGTTCTAGTTTATCTCCTTTTTGCGACTCGACATTTTTTCAACTGTTTCCTGGCATTTTCCCAACTTTTTTTTCGTTCACAACAAGAAATCAGGATAATAACAGTTTCATTTGCATGCCAACCAAATTCTGGAAGAGGGTATTGCACCGGTCATCATGTTGAAGCCAATAAACACCCAGAATCAAAGTTACCATATCATTTTATTGCTGAACTTGTGAATTAATTTACTATCAAATAATACAAATATCTTATATACTCGTACATGCGTAAATCACGTATAAAAATGTATCAAAACTAATCGATCAATATTTTATATCCCTGGATAGTTTATATTTTACTTGCGACAAAAAGGGATCGAMCGATATATGTTTAGTTACCATACAACGAAATGATTGAATGCAGTATATATGACTGGGAAGGAGAACCTYTATACAACAGACATTGTAATGTCTGAAAAGGGCGGATCAAGAAATTGTGGGTTGGGGGTGGGGGCACGTCTATAAATTTTGAGTTGRTCTGTCTGTCGGTCTGATYTTACATATCATATGATYGTGTATTTCTTTATGAATTCAAGCAGGTTTTTCCCAAAATTGGGAGCACCCCTTGGCACCCCTCTTACAGCCCTTAGATCCGTCCCTCTCTCAGACAGATACTAGGTCTAAAGTATTACAACTAAATCATGATTATGTCTTCTTAATAAGAAAAAATCATTAAGGAAACCTGAAAATTTAATTCATCTACACTACGGACATTAATCTACAGAAGTCTTATTAAACAACTAAAACAAAAAACGTTGAGTATTGAACATTTCCAATACTGTAATGCATTGCTGTAACTAAATCTTTTCCATCGAAAGCACAGAGGTGGAATGAATGAAATTCGTTTTCACCAGAGACCAGCAATACATCTCGGTATTGCAGTATATCCCGTATATAATCAACGCCTTCTGTAATAGCTCTTTATTAGTTACCTTCACGTTTTACGTATCTTGGAAAACATAAGGTTTCAATATTGCAAACAGTCCATCCTAGCAGTCTCGTCTGTTGTAACGGGGCTRCTGATATATTCACAGAGCTATACAATATTGATCGTTCTTCTGATTTTCACCCACTAGACTTTAAAGTGACTTTGCATATGAGTTTGTTTCCCTTATTTTCGAGTTTTAGACGATCCAGTTTTGCGCAAAACCCCATTAATTAAATACATATATTTTTATCGTATCATTTGTATTTCCATTATTAATTTGATATTTCTAATTTTTATATCATCCCAGAGAATAATGACATTCTCTGTTGTATTCACATCTTGAGATTTGAGACTTGAGAAAGAGTTTTTACAATCAGAAACTAGAAATAAACTGCCACAAAAGGTGATGGGAGATCGATGGACGATTCAAATATTATCTTAGTATCTTATGTTATAAGATTTCCAWAGCACATATACACGTGGAGCCATCTCTACTAGTCACGCAAAATTTGTAAATTGAATTTTGTTTGTGAAAAGTACAGGACTTGAGAATAGAAATGAAATGATCATAGCAGCAGGGCATGGGAGAGACTGTATGAAAGATACGACAAGGAGCTGTACACGACTATGAGAGGAGACCTAAGCCGAGCTTATGGAGACATGCGAAAAAGGCGAAAAGAAGTTTGAGTTGAGACAGCAGTAGACACATGAGAACGGATACGGGAAGAAAACATGGGAAGTGGGCATTAGAAGAATCATGAGACTGACARTGAGTAAGAAGAAGACACGAGAAAGGCCATGAGAAAGTGTATGTCAAAGAGCACAGAAAACACATAAGAATGGACATGAAAGGACTGAGTTATGAGATTTAATACAAATGGACAAGATGATAAGCAACGCAGGAAACATGAGCAAAAATATGAGGAGGGAAACCAGAAAGTTCGTAAAAAAGGACGTATGAAGAATCTAAGTAGAATATCCGTAGAACACGACGAAAATAGCTCATTTTCTCTTAGACACRATAACAGTATGAAAAGAAAGTGGCCCGAGGGAAGTACCTCGGCTAKATGCTATTTCTGATGTATATGCACATTGGGATACCTGTGTTGATTATATTACCTAGTTGCAAACAATATCCAAATAAGGACTTTCACTCATGTGCAATTATTGTCCTCATACTCCCATAATCCTTTGTGAGCTGTTCATTGCTGTTTTCGAGTCTWGTTGATTTGATAAATAAAGTGCTGCGTGTATTGGATTACGACATGGTTGGTGATGCTGGATTGTTGTTCCATTCCTAAACAAAGGATGTGGCAAATATTATTAAGATCTAGATATAGTACTCTAACAGGAAAAACAAGTCTAACAGGAAAAACAGCCATAGATAAATTAAATAAGTTCCCTTCACCTTCCAACACTGAAAGTCGTTTTCCACTCAAATTCTCTTCGCTCAACTACTTGTTTCCTTAAAGGCCCGTTTACACTTGCGAATTTTGAAGCGAGATTTTTGCGCGACAATCGACTGAGTTTGGAACATGCTTGAGATTTAGCTGCAACTCACGGCGATTTTCGATCGCCGCGGCAATCGCAGGGCTGTTTACACATACGATTTGAGGTGCGCGAGAACAACTTGTTTGAAAGTGGCGATTGTCGCGCGACCATTGTGCTTCAAAATCGCAAGTGTAATAAACCGGCCTTAATAGACCTTCATAGATGATCTCAATAAGTCCCTCGACACTAAGCCGACTATGGGATCGCCAATTATTCATTAACTGACAAACACTCAAACTGTTCAACCCACGATAAGAAGATGASCCCTTGAATCTAATGACTACAATCTCCCGACAGCAGTCTATGTGAAACATGTGACTCACTTGCTTTATGATTGGATGGATGTGTACGTCGGTCATGTTAGTGTCTCTTTTTCTTCTAGAGTTAAACAAGATACAATGTCACAGTACAAGAAATACAGAAATACTAATGAACTGAGCTTTAAGCAATACAGACCAAATAGACCTGTGAAGCTCTTAGGTCATGTACCGTATACGCAATGCATTGTAGGAAATGTTGGGAACAAAACATGACGGAATTCTTGCCTTCTCTAGCAACTGTTTCCTCAATGCATTGCAAATCAAGTAGTGATGTAAAAGCTTCAGAAGTCAATCGAAAAGCCGTTGTCACATGTCAAGYGAGACCTTTGATTATATCAGCCGAGTGAATGTAGAAGCTTGATTACTTAAGCAATAAACAACACATTTTCGTGCGTTCCTGGTGAAATAAACCACGCGGGATATTGGTACGAACCAAAATTGCATACCCAAGACACCCTCTTCTCTCATTTCTTTAAAACCTTCTCCCTGATTCAGTGTTACCTCTTTTTAGGTGCTGAGGAATTCCAACTTTTCGGGGGCAAGAGGGAAACAGCTTCTTCAATTTGTAAAGATATCATTTCGTAAAGAGGGCATTCCCTATTTTTAACACAGTCGACAACACATTATGACCTCCGTTCTAGGGTAGCCTTCTGGCTCACATACTGCGTCTGACTAACATTATTTTCTTTGTACACCAGGCCATCACTTGTGAAAAGAATCGAAGCCCGGAAGAGATCTTGACTGCAACCATGCCAGGTTGTGATGATGGCTCAAGGCAACCAACAAGAAAAGTAAACTTACTTCTAGTTTAAAGCTTTTTGATTTTCTTTGTGCCGATTGCTCTACACTTAACAGTATCCCATAATTAACTGCAGCCCCTATAATCTAGATCTACAACATGACATTTCTTCTCTTTGGTGTATTGCATTAAGAATCATTACTGCCATCAACTTTATTTACAAACATCAACCTACTATTGCGCATGCGAACAGATCCATTCACCGTTACGTCGTTGCTATGCGACCACTCCAGATAACAACTGCAATTAACAATCCACGACTTTCAAAAATGGCGCGATATGTCACGGACGCAGACCAGGGCACTGGGGACGAAGCACTAAAACGAGGTCTTAAAGGCCAGTCTCCGTAGTATAGTAACTTAGATGATGTCTTGTCAGATTGTTTTGTTATCTATACAAATACATCTTTCAACCTTGTGATTGTGGTAATGATTTCTAGCTGGAAGGCCTTTGAGGTCTTGTGTCCAGGATTTGTCACTTGTCCTCCGATATTGGCGGTCGTGAACTACCGCCATTTTTTAAAGTCGTGTATAGACAGCTGTCAATCAACTAATGTGCTTTGACGTCAAATGCTGGTTTGTTTGAACGTTTATTGTAAGTTGCCCGTYTTTAAMTTTGTCTTGTAAAGTCGCGTAGCAATACAAACGACAGTGAAATATATCCCTCCTCCGTTGCGGASAGAGARGAGAAATYATGGTATTTTTATCTTTCTTTGCAGCGGAGGAGGGAACTGGATCTGAATGGTCATCATCACTTTGACCACCGCTAGTAATCACATTTATAATTACAATGGTTTTGTTTTTAGTTTGGTATTTTTTACCGATACAGATGTGTCAATTTACATTACTTTTAAGCAAACTTTTAATATATCAAATATTTTCCTCAGAAATATTTAGTCTGTTTTATGACATTTTATATATGTAAAGTGCTTTTATGAAGAAATTTATAAATTTTAAAAATATTATACATTTATAGTAATCATCAAACMCATCAAATTGTACTGGTGACATCATATCTGTTTATACTCAATAGTTTAACCCGTTTCAGTTTGTATTTTATTATTTGTTTTATGCAAGCCATTGTCATACGCGAACAGTGAGTCTGTACTCGAGTGGAAACTGATTTCGCCAAGTGTAAGTTTAATCCTTGATCCCAGAAGCAAAATATCATAAGAGATCAAATCAGTAGAGCATTATTCAAACATTCTGCTTTTCGCATAATTCTTTCTTTTATTTACAAATTTTGCGATCTATGTTGTTTTTTAGTCAATCTTGTGCATTTACAATTTAAGCACCACTAACTAATTTGATGTTAATGCGATTAGTATTTCTTTGTTAATTAACTGCATTTATGTATTTGCAGGTTAAGATTTTATTTTTTTTTATTTATTTATTTATTTTTTATTTTTTATTTATTTTACTTTTTTTACACATTATATTTTATTTTCCATTTTTTATTATTAGATTATTATTATTAATATTAAACCAAGGTCACACAATGTTCTTTATACATAGGTTTAATTGCATGCATTTACTCTATTTTTATAGTAGTCCATTGCATAATTAGTAATTAGCAGCAGAATTTTACTTTATCTCATTTCAAAACGATGTTCAAATTGATGGCAAAGTCAACTTACCTGTTTGTGTTCGCGTTCCTTGTCAATCTTTGATTGGCTCGTGTTTTCTAGGGTCACGTGAACAAATATGGTCGCGTTRGGGATTGGTGCTCCTTTCATGTCTAACAGGTGAACATGTCGATAACCTGAAATAGAGTTCAAGGTCATTGTCAAGAGCAACGGTRCATTTTCCCCTTCATAGAAAGCCAAGGAATGGATATGGTCAAATATCGCCGAGGTGTCACTCAATATCACGCCAGTCAATAYATCTATCACGCAATGATGTACTGTCGGTAGATGTATGTCACGCAATAGTATGGCGACGCTAGTCAAGTAAGCTCATTAATATCACGCTATATTAACTTGCTAAATCATCATCTTTTTTAATGATTTAAATAAAATGTCCACATTAATTACGCCGTGAACTGCTTGTCACGCAATCCAAATATCTGTCATGTTAAGTTAATTACCTGTTTGTAGATTGGTTATTGGAAGACAGAATTGGCCAATGAAATCATCGACACCAACATCCTCATCGTAAACAGCGAATCGTAACATGGCAATGTCTGGTACGTGCAAGTCTTTTTCCACGTGAAGATTCCATTTTGGATTGAAACCTATGCCACAGAATATCAAATACAGCTATTTMAGAAAACGCTRAAGACTGAAGATAGTGTATTTCAAGACCGCAATGCATTGTTACTCTYTGTATCMCTGTTCAAGAAGTGTTTTTGTGGTTATGGAAATACGTGTGAGAATATTATAARATAATTTCTGAGATKCGCAGGCGCTTTARAATATAATGCAATAGCGCAAGCATCTCAAAAATAAATTGAGCTTTCGAACGCTGCCTGCGCGCGATATTTTTGAAAGCGTCCACGCAACTCAGATTGTCTATTACCATTATCTTTGACGACTTTGGACTTGAACGTTGCCTGATCGCTACTCACACCATAGATTTTGATTTCTACATACGGATCGATTACCTAAAATTGAAGAACAACACACACTATAATGTAGTATCAAATAAAATAGAGACCACCTATATTAATATGGTAACGTGATAAAGATCGAGCGCGTTGCTTATGTCCTGGCCGTGCTATCGTTGAGCCTGTCGAAGGTCAGCTAGATATAAGACTCAAAACTGTGGAAAATCTATAAACGTAGGCTTCTTCAACTCGACAACAGGACCGTCTGCGTGGAGACTTCGACAATCGTGACTTAATGCCAATCATCTTAGTTCCCTGATGATGCACTGATTGATCCGAAAGCTCCGAAAATCATGAAATAAATATCCCCTTAATCTTTTTTTATGAAAAAATGCATACAGAGAATTCTAAAATTCTAGCATTGTTAGGAGTATATCAGAAACTTAGGGAAAAGAGCAAGGTCTTAAGCACCAAGTCCCCCGTCTCTACGGTCCTTTTATTGAGGTAATCGGAGTCCTAAACTWCTGAGGCAAAACACCACTGTACCCACCTCCCCCTTCTCGCTGTGCCCTGCTGGTTTCGGCAGCTGCTGACCGCTGATTAAGTGGATTTTAAGCGTCTTTCTTTGTGTTGGTGGATGCTTAGGGTCATAACTDATCGACTCTGTGCAAAAAAAGCAGTGCCAACATACACAACAAGTAAAACATGTCATACGAGGATACAGGTAAATAATGACAATTCAAAGGGCAAACAAAAGCAAGACATCACTAACAAAAAAGGGAGTGAATATAGTACTCTGGAGCTTTTACGTCATGTACCGTATACGCAATGCAYTGTAGGATAGGTTTGGGAACATTTTTTCTTTTGTTTTCCCTAGGAACTTAACCCACAATGCAATGAAAGTCAAGTAGTGACGTAAAGGATCAGAGGACGCGAGGGACAAGGATATTAAAGATAACCTCGATTAAGTGGTATGGGCTTTTCCACACGAAGACTTGTCAATAGAGGTTCGACTGGATGACCGAAATACCAGATAAATAAGGACATGAATTATATTTAAAAAAAAACAAATAACGAATAGTTGGATAAATGGAAAGAAATGAGTGAACGAATTTGAAAAAAATACAAGTATAAAATGATGGATGGATGTCAGGATGGACGGGATAGATGARCGGATGAATGGAATAATTGRTTGAATAGAAGGGACGAATGAGCGATGAATCATCGAATAGAAAGATGAATGGATTATAAGACCGACAATCACTCACCATCTCTCATATACTCGGGTTTCAGTACGTAGCCTGCCTTGTTGTTCTGTCTGAACCTTCCCTGGTTTATGTGCATCATTTCTCCGTCTGTCTGGTAGTTCAGTGCAACTGAAATCAATAGCAAATATGTCTTATGTGGATGTCCAATAYTTCACCACATAGGCAGGTTACTTGATACTTGACTGATATTAATACCCAACACTCTCTTACCAATTTGACATCCCGCATTCCATCCACTCTGTGGATTGTAATTGCTGGAATCGACCCGATTACCCGCGGGATATGTGCGGGACAATTGTCTTTTGTTGTAGTCGATAAAAGCTGCTGTTTTGTTTTCGGCGAAGTTCATCAGTTTTGACTCAGCAAAGGATGACATTTGGTAGAACTTGGCTGAAATAGAAAACAGCGATTTGTTTTACTACAACCAAATTGAGTCAAAAAAGTGACTTAGCTTAAAGCCCGAAAAGATAAAGACAAAATGAGGCGGTTCCAACTAAATCAGCAACAACCAAAGAAGTATGAGGGAGAAAAATACTTTTTTGCCACACTTGTGTAAATTCTCGCGCCCTGATTGACATGCACACTGTGCTGACACCATCACGTCTCGCGCGCTGATTGGCTGATTAGGACATGCACACTGTGCTGACACCATCACGTCTCGCGCGCTGATTGGCTGATTAGGACATGCACACTGTGCTGAMACCATCACGTCTCGCGCGGTCAATTGAAAGAAAAGAATGATTTTGCAMAATTTTAGACTAAAAACGTGGTAAAAAAATAAATAACATACGATTCGCTGCGCTCGTGAGTGCACTTGAGTTTTAAACATTTTATGACGTCAAGAGTGTGTCAAAACCGTGCGCAATTTGTTAATTGGAAGAAATGATGAAGATTGAATCTTAATTTCTGTGGATTTGAAGCAAATTATGTTTGATAAAACATACTGGAAAGGAAAAACTGTGGAAAGGAAAAGAGATTATGAGAGTGGAAGGAAGGATRGGAATGTAWAGATTACCGTTTTCCTTGGAGTGCTGGAAGTTTTTAAATCCGACGCTACTGATGTAATTGACACAGCGTGAGAGTTCTTTTGCCAGTTTAACTTTGCTTTTGTCTTTGCTATTCTAAAGCGAAATGCATAAAACAAGTTTGATCTTTGCTATTCTAAAGCGAAATGCATAAAACAAGTTTGATAATATTCTCAAACAGTAAACTATAGAAAGACTACCAAATACCTGATGAAAGATCTGATAATGAATAAGATCAACAAACATTTAATTGGCACATATTTGCAAATATTTATCTATGCGATAACTATTTCGATAAAATAAMTATTCTCGGATCTGCCRAGATCAAAACATTGTCATTYGCGCCGAAACAAAAGTCCAATTTCGATCAATATCTCATCGTCCATAAGTCACTCGTCTTCACCTCAGTGTCGATATACGGTCGGATTATGTTGTCGTCGAAYTTTCGGARACGTCGCATGACTTACTTTCTGAGCAGCAGGAGATTTAACTCTGCGAACGGCTCGACCAACGGCGCGGAAAGAGTGCCGTATTCCACTCGGCTGAAATTGGATACGACGATTAATCAAAGTTACTCATCGATGTAAACTTGCGTGACATTAGTTGCGTGACGAAAGACGGTTAAGTGACGAATAGATGTGGCATGCATGAAAAGGTTCCTTTAAAGCTTCTTTTAAGCTAACTGTATTTCGTTCCATGCATAGCGTTACGACGTAGAAAGTATTGTGTGTCGTTAGCGATGACAGTATCTTAAATTAAACAGTTTGTTGCGYTACATGCAAAACGCTAGTTGTAATTGAAAGATTTTGTCGCCCAGTAGAKAATCGGATGTTTTCGTTACATGACATGCATAGTGTGACATGGCCGGTGTCCTCCACTCTWAMGTGACAAGATGGTTRAACAGGCAAGGTTAGAAAGTCGTTAGGCTAAGGTTGTCATGACCACATACCAAGTCATATGTCATCCTAGCAGTTGGATGTGGTATCCATGGTGACACGAAATATTTCATTGTCAAAGAGATTGCAAGTGGTTTCCAAGGCAGCATTAGATGTGATAAGATGGATCGATGACGTTAAATGATGATAACCATGGCGACAGCAGCAAAAGACATGTTAGGTTTCCAAGATGATAGTTAACTGTCATAACCAACAAGCATTATATTTCGCAAATGACTAGTGGATGTCTTGAAAACATGATAGTTGAATAGTTATAAACGCAAGAGGAAGCCAGCATGTTTCTATGTGGTGGTGAAGATTCAGATCGTACGAGTGATGTCAGCCAAAGATCACCATGGCATCAAGACTTAAGAAAAGCTTAGAAGAGATAAGGAATCTATCGAGCGTTAAACAGCGTTAATTCAAGAATATGGTATGCTCTTTGCGACTGTTAAGTATTAAATGAAATAATGTTGACAGCAAAATCATTTTAACAGAAAAGGACACTTTGAAAAATATCAGTTTTAGGAGTTTATAGCAATKAGCTGCATGAAGCTTACGTCTGACTAAAGGTATCCATGTAGCAGCGTTAGCATAAAGAGGGACGACATAAGTTATAGTGCTCAGCTGCTTTCATATCAAAATATATGTTTTGCTTTAAGGCCCTTTTACACTTGCGTTTTTTTGCAGCGCGCTTGTCCCAGCAATCGTCGCGCGACCATCGCCTGAGTTTCGTACATGCTTGAAATTTGGCTGCAACTCACGGCGATTTTCGATCGCCGCAACAACCTGAGGGCTGTTTAAACGTATACGATTTGAGTTGCGCGACAGCAAAGTGGCACTAATTGCCGCGCTACAAAAATYGCAATTGTAAACGGGCCTTTACAGTCTTTCAGAAGGCAGCATACASTAAGCACTAGTGTCGTCCACTGAAAACAACTGTCATTAGTTTTAATCGCAATTAATTTTCAGAAATAGAAATCTGTTAGTTGTTTGCAAAGTTACGTTAGTGAAAATGGAAAAGTACAAACAGCACTACTTTCCCTCCCGTCCCATGGTAAATAATTGTAYACATACTCTTTTCTTTTTCTCTCTAGGTTCTTTATCAGRTTTTGRAGCCGCAGCAGGAGTTGCTGACCCCTCCCCACCCCCATCTGTAGCGGATCCTTTGATGAGGTCAGGGTCGATGTCACCAGCCTCGTCTTCATCTGAAACGTCGCCTTCTCCAGTGTCTTCTGCTTCTTGTTCTGGTTTGAGTTTTTTGCCCTGAAAGACAGGACTGCATTTTACTAAAAACCAGGCGAGGCTGACAGTTTAAGGTAGAATAAAACGAAAGATAATCCGAATAATCTCATTTTGACTGATATTCAATCGAAAATGGATGGACAAGATGTAATCAAAACGCTATATTTCGATTTTTAGATTAMAATTACATTTAACTAGGCTACTGCATAACACGCTTAAACACCTGATTATTGGAACTACTACAGCAATTGATAGCATAGAAGCCATTCACTTGATCTGCCATAGGAAAGACTCTACTGTCATTCTCATATACTCACAGCGCGCTATTATCAATAAAGCCATGAACTGCGTTGAAGCGAGAAAGCGGGTTGAGATATTTGTGTGAAATGCCTTTAATCATATATATGTCATAGGCGTGAAAAAAWCGTATCATTCATTGGAAGCATAGTTAATATTTACTATGTTTGGAAGCTAATCTTTTTTCTCGAAGTTTCAATGTAAAGGTCCGGCTACCAGTTTCCCAGGTGGTGCTGGGAACTGTAACATTGGAATAATTTATTGGAGTGTCAATGGAACTCTAGTTCTGATTGTTTGATTAATCGACAATTGAATCGATCGTTGATTATTTTTCTGYTTGTTGTTGTTGGCATCTTACCTTTATTAGTATTTTATTTTTCAGTGCATCAGGCGATGGTAACATTTTGAGAGTAGGATCTACTGGGTCTTTAAATAACTTATCTAAGAATTGATTAAGGATTGCACAATAACCTACATTTATCCTTCTCAAAACTGAAGCTAGACAGACGAAGAAAAAAAACATTGTTTTCATGMAGTATTTGTTATTTGTTGTCAAGGATACCACCAAGAATTCTCTCAAGATGAGCAGCCATTGCTATCTGGTTTTCAAGGTTACAGTGGTTTTCYAGCGACAGAATGACGGGGTATCTAGGTAGAAAGGAAAAAGAAAATTCCAATGCCTTTATGTTGTATACTAGTAAGACGAACTGCTTTAACTCAACGTATTTTCGCTCTATACCACTATACAAATTGCTACAAAGGATGGATTTTCATTAAAAAATATCAATGCTAATAGAGTAAAATAACTGATGGAGCAACCAGAGCTTTATATTAAGTAAAGGTTTATTTATTTTGTATATTCATTTAATAGCAAACAACAACGAGTCTCAAGTACGGGTACGAAAAGTGCGGGATAAGACTCTCCCRTCAAGACAGTGATTAACCTGTAAAACTAGTTAAACACCAGTATCAAACCGGTATAAAACAGGTAAATCAACCAGTCAATGCACTGTAAGTACTTACTCTGAYACTTCAAAAGCATGTTTATCAACAGCCTCGATGATATCTCTAAACTTGATTTTAGAAGTAAGAGTRTGACCATGGTAGACTATAGGCTCGTCATGATCACCGTCCCAGCAATCGAGCTCTACACAGCGACAACCTTTCTTTAATGCATTAATGTATGCAGTCACGCTTGATGGTCCKCGTAGCTGATCTTCCAGTAGATACGTGTTRTGTGATGAAGCRATGAAATAATGTGACATAGGTTGCGTCATGTCTTGGTAGAGCTTGTCGTGGTTAAAATTAAAGATGTCGCACTCTCGGGAAAGTAGTAAG